AAAAGAAATAATAATAATAATAAGAATACATGTCTGGAGGGGATCTTTAATGGTCATGAATATCCACACTAACTGTTCTCATGGCCATTCTTGGGCCGTGAAGCAGCTCTCCAGCCTACCACAGTGAAGATACAGGTCTGGAGCAGCAGCCCCTGCCACAGAGTGACTCACAGATAAACAGTTTCCTTATCGGTTGCACTCAGCAGTTACCAGACGTCAGCAGTGGAGAGCAGAGGACATACTTTGAAAGAGAAAACAGCCATGCTCAGGCCCCACAACAGGAACACTGGCTGGATTTCCCATCTCTAAATGGTTCAGTCCTAATGCTCATGTGTCCTGCAGGCAACAGTGTGCACCCTCATAGGCTAAAAGACCTACTCTAACATCTCTGTCAAATAATCAAAATGAGAAATTCCACATCTTTCTGAAAAGCTCTGCAAAATGATCCCTAACTGATATCTTAAAGCTGGTTTCTTGACATCATAGCAAGCTAGAACACTGGGACCATGAAAAAACTGATGCATGATCTGGTGGTCCATGACGTTCAGGGTGGTTCAGGGTGAGAGGGTAGCTGGGGTGGGGCTGTTATTTCTTCTTTTCTGTCTACTTGGGAAAATTTGGTAAATGCATGGGAGATTGAGCTAGCATATATTTGCTTGTCTGTGACTTGTGACCCCATCCCTAGAGGGCTGCATTCGAATACATGAAAAAAGTCCTTTGTTCATAATACCACGCAGATCCAGTTTATTCGAATAAATATCAATCAATTAAAAACCCCAGGGCAACTCCTGGAAATATGACCAGCACTGGTGAGGCTCAGTGAGCTGCTGATGAATGGAATTTGATTGTTTCTGCTTTTGCTAAAAGCGCTGGAAAAATGACATTTTACAGTTTTCACTCTATGAAAGAAACAGACCTAAACGTAGAAGACACTTACCCAGAATATCACATGGACCGTTTTTGTACTCAAAGCAGCAAAAATCAAATTCCTTTCACCCTCCACATACTGAGGCAGAAATCTCAGACACACCTCATACCATAACCTATGCAGATAAAACTGCAAGTATCACCACGGCTAGATCCCACAAGAGGTAAGAGGGAAATTATGTGATTTGAGTGAGTGAGCCACCTCAACAGGCAGAAACAACAATCCTGAGAAACACTCCTGACTGCTCTGTCTCAGTTCTGTAGAAAAGTTAATTCCTCAATCAACAGACAAAACACTCATTAGGGTGACAGTTTAATGTCTCTCACCAGCATAATGATATATGACAATATAAGTGAACTATATATAGTGTATGGCAGTACGGGTGGAGCATCTTGCTTCCTCCTCACCGCTGTTAACATGGGCAGGATGTTTACAGCCGCAGCAACAACCATGTCAAATCAGCGTTTTCTCCTTTGAGTTCCTACCACGGTTATTATAGTTCACTAAAACTTAACCAAACCTACGAGTGAAAGAACAATTCAGTTAACTGAAATGAAGATAATAACTTATATTTGTTCACATTTCTTCGTTTTACTCAACTATAATAACTTCGGTAGGGAAGTGCTCTACTGAAAAATGTCTGTCAACCCTGAAAAGTACAATTAAAAATGAAAACCTTCCATACAGTAAGCTGCTCCCAAAGGCTGAACCAGAAAGGAAAAAGCCGACACACTGGATATTTTCAACATTTCTTTAATAAAAAACAACCCATAGGGTTTCATACAAAAAAAAATACTCATTACAAGTATCAAAGATGCAATGCAAACACACTCACAAATCAGTCTTTAACAGTGATTTTCTTTGCGCCCTGAAAGAACAGAAATTGTGGAACTGCCGCAGTGGAGCTCTCACAGTGAAATGTCATCAGATCAGACACAATGATTATCCTCACATAAGGTGCGTGCCATTATATCAGAGTGTATGGATCGTGTTTGGCCCTTATTTCTGCCAATCACTCAAAAGTGGGAATCGGAAATCCAATGTGAGGTTCCAACGTGTTCGGAGTGTTTCACCAACAGAAAAGTCACTCATCGCAAAACGTTGTTCTAACAAAACAGAAACAGAAACTCTTGTAGGCAGTACTAGAGCAAAATGCATCAATGAAAAAGTGCAATAAAACCAAGGAATAAAACACATTCTTCTCAAACACTGGTACATAAGAAAATCTGGATGCTGCACAAGGTTCTGTTAGCATCGAAGGAAGGTTATTGTACATGCTGTAATTCTCAAAGGCAACCACATTCCTGACGACTTATAGCAACATAAAGCGGACTAAATGGATGATTCCTCTAGTGAATTCCCTTTAAAATAACAGGGTTTGACTGGAATGACACAGCATCATGAGGAATAGACGAACCCCAAAAAAGCTAAGATGTCAAAGCAGGCCTGGGGGGCTGACTCGTACAATGCTTGGCCCCAATAAAAGTCATATAAAGTGGCTGTGAATGGACAGTGAGACCCTGACAGTTTGGGACAGCTCATTCGGAAATGTGTCGCACCACAGGCTCTGTGGCTCGACCTCCAGGTCCGCGACCTGAAGAGCACCGGGAGGAAGACTCAGGATCAGAGCAGGTGATGAAGCACAGTGACAGAACAGGAAAGCTCTTTTCTGTCCATCTCCACAGTCCTGGCTTTACTTCTCCATCCAACACATCTCTGGAGTTTGGACCTTCTGCTCCTTTTTTAAGTGCCTTAAACAAATGGTCCCTGAGAGCTGGACCACACTTCTAGAAGCTGGACTTCAGCAGACCGGCAGCATGCGGGCGTTGCCGTTGTACTCCTCCTCAGTCTGAAAGAAATGATAGTTTAATTAGACTTCCACTTAATAAGACAAGATTATTTTCATATTAACTTGTCACAGCTCTGGGTTGAGACGCCTACCTCAGTGTATGCAGGAGGTGGCGGGAACTGGAAGGCTGGGACGTTCATGAAGATTGGGCTGTCATCGCCATCAAAGTCGTCCAGGAGCGGTGTGAGGGGCTGGTCCAGGCGGCAGTCGCGGGTGATGTCACAGTAGCTGGGAGGCTCGGAGGGCATCCTGAGGGACACCCAGCTCTGGGAGGCGTTGCTGACTGAACCCTCCTGGCTGCTCACACTGTTGCTGCGGCTGCCCAGACCAGCAGTCCCGATGACCAGAGGCAGCTCCAGGACCAGTTTCTCGCTTCCAGGAATGTGGATGTAAATCTGGCAGAGAGGATCAGGAGCATGAGACATTAACACTGATGTTCAATTCCTAAAACAGTCATAAATCTCTGGCTACACAGCTGAAGGCTTACCATCAGAGCGTATTCCACGCGGATGATGTTACAGCCCAGCATGGATGGTTTGATCTTTGGCACCCTGATGCTCTTTCCCTGCCAGGCGTCGCACATGCCAGAGATAATATGGTTCCCACGCACTGAGGACAGTTTCTGGCGGAAGACCTTGGTGCGCCCGTTGGCCTGATAGGTGTGTTTTGCGATGATGGCGGCCTTGGGCACCACAATGCGGGAGCAGGTATTCTCAAACTTTGCATTGATGCAGATGTCTTCGCCTTCGCAGAAGCCGCGGCGGTCGATTTTCGCATTCAGCGATACCTGGCCGTCGGGGATGAACATGCAGGTGACTTTCTTCTCCTTCATGCCGCCTGTGGGAGACTGAGGGGACACGGGAAGGTTAGACTTACGTCGAACTCGAGCACGTATTGAGCTTTAAGACTTGCTTTTAAGTGTCAGTGAACTCACCAGAAGGTCTGGGGTGTTGACATCCAGGGGCTCCTCCACCTCGAAGGGTTTCTTGCACTCGAGGGTGGGCTGCTGCGGCCTCTCCAGCATAGCCTTCACATTGTAATGGACATAGCCGAACTTCCCCTTGTATGACGACACCAACTGCCTGCAAGGACACGTGTGAGAAGAATTAAAACCAAAAGTATTCTATGGAAATACAATAAAAAAAAACAAAAGAGTATGTAATGTTAGTAAGTAAATAAATGCTGCCTTACCCTTGCTGCGGGAGCTCAAATCCAAAAGTGTATTCATATTTGTTGCCAGGCCTCAAGACGACTGACCCATCAGAGTCTGAAAAAAGGAAAGTAAATATGCAATGTTAAGTAACAAAAGTTGCCTGGGGCGGGTTGGACTGCAGTCTGTTGTGAGGCTGTGCCACTGACAGCAATAAGTCAACTGTAGGAGACTCCCTCCAGTCTGCTCTAACAAGGAAGTTGCATTCTAGAGAGCACTAACTGTTAGCCAGTCATTCCTCAGACTCACACTGGCTAAAACACCGAGCTTTCATAACAACATCACACTAGCAACTCATTCTACTGACAGTACCAAAGCCGTGCTAAGTTGTTACAAAAGATAAAGTTGGCAGAGGGAGATAATGTGACAAAGTCAGTGCCGTACCTGTGGGCTGCTCGTCCAGTCGCAGCACCTCCTCGTATCGGAGGTACTCGGCCTCCTGTCGGCACCGCTGCTTGCCTTTAGCGTACTCCACTTTGGCGCAGCCCAGACCCAGAACCCTCACTGCGGACACACGCGTCGCCTCGTTCACCTCCACTTCCACCCTGCCGGACACCTTATCCCCGCCGCAGTAGAAAGTCTTGCTGGGGTCCGTAAACACAATCTGGAAGGTTTTAACTCTCTTCGTCATAGCCACCATGACTGCTGATTTCAGATATCCGATACAAAGATAAAAAAAGACCTGAACGTGTAACGTTTAGAATTGGTTGATAAAACCGCTGAGGAGCGATTGCTCGTGTAAGGAAACGTTGCCTTCCACTTTTCGTCTGCTGTAAACAAAGAGCGTACTGCTGCTTTTATATGACGAGCGTCGGCTGGGCATGAGGAGCCAGGATGAACAGCGTGGCTCAGCGCGTGCACAGCGCTCCTATTGGTGGAAAATCTTTGTTTGTGTCGGCTCTAGCCAATCAGCGCCCGAAAGAGACGCGTGGACACCGCATGGCTGCGAGAATGTAGAGCGTGCTCAGCAGATGTGAGCACAGGAAGTTGAAGGTGGAGACAGAGAGCAGTACATTTGTAGTAAACAGACTGAAAACAGGGAAGGGTTAGTGGATATGATATACCATGAGTCATTAGACTGGAAGTGTTTAATAGTCACAGACACTGATACTGGAAACCCACCCTTGTGTCCCCAGGCAAAAGTGCCACAAATACATACAAAAGATTGAATATAACAATTATAAATAATATATAAAAATGGCAGTGTTGGCTACTGTATGAAAATGTATAAGAATTATGTATATGGGCCTCTTTATGCTGTTATTAGAGATTTCACAGTAGAGAGATGACAGACCTCTGTTCGAGACACATAAACCTCCAAGACAATGTCTAGGTAGGGCCACAGTACATTTTATTACATTTATCAATTGTTTACCCAACTCTGACTCACTATTAGCCTAATATATTAGCCAACCTAATCCCCTAAAACAGTGGTTCCCAACCTTTTTCTTCAAGGGACCCCATCATTCAGTAAACTGACAACCCCTGACCCAGTGACATATTTAATGAATATTTCATATTATATTGAAAAGTACAGGAAGTTTGTGTAAAACCTGTGATTTGGATGAATTTTGAGCAGATTATTTTTTGTATTATGTATTTTTATAATAACAATTTTACAGACTTTATAGACTTCTTTTTTGACAAATTCAGTGTTTTCTTGTTCCTGATGCTTGGCCACTGTTCTACTATACAATTTACTTT